TCTTAAGGTCAGTGCTATAATTTTGTTTTGATAGATTTAAAACTATTAGCAACAGTTTCCCACCCTTATTTTAATAAAGTTTGTATCAACACATACCCATATATGTGAATACTGACAAAGTTATTAATATGCAAGTATGCATACACATATAACCTTAGTTTCTCATTGTTATATTAAAGGAAGTTCCTGTATAATTGTTTCCAAAAGTTATGGACATAGAAACTAATTATGTTATTTGTTTTAGAATGAAAGGTAAAAATTAATTTAAATATTAAATTTGATAAAAGTGCTTTTAGAATAATACAGCTAAATTTTTTTTAACTTAAAAAGAACATAATAACTTAAGAGCAGAATTCTCAATAAAAGTCATTAATAAAATTTTGGAAATCATAGATTCATTTACTATATATCATTTTACCACTGACAAGGCATAAATATATTGGCATAATAAAATGTTCATTTTAAAATAAAGGAATTATCACTTACTGTTGGTTCTCAGAGCAGGTTGAAATGGCTGCTTTATCTGTAGAGAGAAAGTAGAGAGAAAGGAGGTTAGAGCACAGTATATGTACATTACACCTATTTCCTGTTTTTGGCAAATTCTGTTTGTGCAAGTAGATCTAAGTCAACAAGGTCCGAAACAGGATTTGTCATACCAAGAGTCTCAGATTTCATTGCTGGTTGACTTACTGCATAATTTTGGCAGTATCTTGCAATTCTCCTCACTGTTTTTAAAAATAAATTATTATTTTGAATTTAGCTATTGTACATTCATTCTTTGGAGCTTCATGTACTGTTACAACTAATCCACATTTTTTATTGACAATTCTTAACTAAATATTCTCATTACAACATTAGAGTTTTCAAAATTACTTCTATAAGAGTAAAGCCAAGCTTATCCTTTTTGTGAACTGCAGAGACTACCATGTTTTTTTACAGACTTACACTATGCAATAGAAATCTGTTGAATCTTACTGTTTTGGAGAAAAATTTACTCTTTTATCTTTGTAAACATAAGGTCACCGTGGCTTTCAGAATCTAATGGCAGAGGACCCCATAACTCATGGGTATTTCTAAATTCTAAGTTCTCCTCTATTAACTTCTATTTTCTGGTTGTATGAAACTCAACATAACATTGAACAACATTACATAGTAAATTAGCATCATTTGATTCTATGGAAGACTTTATTTAATCATTCCAGGCTATTTCTACATTTCAGAAATGAAGGAGGTTGGACCAATGATTTCAAGTTTTCTCTCCCTCCAAGATGTAATGATTTCAAATATGAAGTTTTTATCAATGAGGGAAAATAAATTAATAAATAAATATCAGGCATTTCTGGGTGCACATATCTTATTTTATTGTGTTTCACACATATTGTATTTTTTCCAAGTTTAAAGTTTGTGGCAGTCCAGCATCGAGCGAGTCTATCCGGGCCATTTGACCAACAGTATTTGCTCACTTCATGTCTCTGTGTCACATTTTGGTAATTCTCCGAATATATCAAACTTTTCCATTATTATTATACTTCTCATGGTGATCTGTGACCAGTGGCCCTTGCTGTTACTATTGTAATTGTTTGGGGTGCTATGAACTGCTTCTATCTAAGACAATGAACCTAGCTGATAAATGTTGTGTGTTCTGAGTGTTCTACCAACCTGCCATTACCCCATCTGTCTCTCTCTTTCCTCAGGCCTCCCTATCCCTGAGATAAAACAGTATTGAAATTAGGCCACTCAATAATCCTACCGTGGCCTTTCAGAGTTCAAGTGAAGCGTCAAACATCTGTCATATTACATCAAAAGCTAGAAATGATCAAGCTTAATGAGAAAGCACGTCAAAAGCTGAGATAGACAGAAAGCTTGGCCTCTTTCACTTCAGTTAGCCAATTTGGGATGCAAAGGAAAAGTTCCTGAAGGAAATTAAAAGTGCTACTCCAGTGAGTACACGAATGATAAGAGAGCTAAACAGCCTTATTGCTGATATGGAGAAAGTTGAAGTGTTCTGGACGGATCAAACCAGCCACAGCACTCCTGTCAGCCAAAGCCTGATCCAGAGCAAGGCCCTGAGTCTCTTCAAGTCTCTGAAGGCTCAGAGGTGAGGAAGCTGCACGAGGAAAGTCTGAAGGTAGCGGATGCTGTTTCATGAGGTTGGAAGAAAGAAGCCAACTCCGTAACACAAAGTGCAGGTGAAGCAGCAAGTGCTGATGTAGAAGCCGCAGCAAATTGTCCAGAAGATCTAGCTAATTACCGAAGATGGCTTCACTAAACAATAGATTTTCAGTGTAGAAGAAACAGCCTTATAATAGAAGAAGAAGCCATCTCAGACTTTCCTAACTGGAGAGAAGTCAATCGCTGGCTTCAAAGCTTCAAAGGACAGACTGACTGTCTTATTAGGGGCTAATGCAGCTGGTGACTTTAAGTTGAAGCCAATGCTCATTTACCATTTTGAAAACCCTAGGGTCCTTGAGAATTATGCTAAATCTATCCTTCCTGTGCTCTAGAAATAGAACAACAGAACCTGGATGACAACACATCTGTTTGTAGCATGGTTTACTAAATATTTTAAGCCCACAGATGAGACCTAGTACTCAAAAAAAAAAAAAAGATTCCTTTCAATATCTTACTGCTCATTAACAAGGCATCTGGTCACCCAAGAACTATGATGCTGATATACAACAAGATTAATGATGCTTTAATGCCTGCTAATGCAACATCCATTCTGCAGTGCATGGATCAAGGAGTCACTTAGACTTTCAAGTCTTATTATTTAAGAAAAACATTTCATAAGGCTATAATTGCCATAGATGGTGATTTCTCTGATGGATCTGGGTAAAGTAAATTAAAAACCTTCTGGAAAGAATTCTCCATTCAAGATGCCATTAAAAAAATTTGAGATTCATGGGAAGAGGTCAAAATATCAGTATTAACAGGAGTTTCGAAGAAGTTTATTCCAACCCTCCTGGATGACTTTGATAGGCTCAAGACTTCAATGGAGGAAGTAACTGCAGATGTGGTAGAAATAACAAGCAGAAAAAGACCAGAAGGGGAGAATGAAGATGCGACTGAATTGCTGCAATCTCGTGATAAGCCTTGAATGAATGAGCAATTGCTTTTTATGGTTGAACAAAGAAAGTGTCACCCAGAGGCCACTCTCCTCTCTACTTAACAGTGTAGGATATTGTTAGGAGGCTGGGATTTATGGTGTGATAGACATGGGTTAAGTTTCTATACCACAGTATATTAGGAAATTATTTTTCTGTCCATAAGTTTTCACATCTACAAATGGGAATAATATTATTTTATTTTATTGTGATAAAATGAAATAATATGTAAATTATCAGCCATGTAGTAAGAATTTCTAAAATTATGTTAGTTTCCCCTTATTTAATTTGCTTCTTTTCTTCTGGGTCTGGACAAACTGTCCCTAACACTTACATGCTATGGAATTGTACTTAACTTTTATGAGAAATGGTTTGACTTACTATGGTATAAGTAGTTATGTGAGAAACTACCATAAGATGTGGATAGAAGATGGTATAAAAAAGGAAAAAATATTTTTGACTCATTATTAATACTTAATAAATTTACTCTAACTTTATATTTATAGTTATGACTAAATAATCATTAGGTGCACCATGATATATAAAGTATTTTGTCAGATATTAGTACCTCTCTTATTAAGTTAAATAAATATAAAAAATATGTGACACCTTTGGGCCACAGAATACCATACACATATGGGATTGACAGATTGGTGACCCTAATTTTTCAAAATGATTGTTTGCAGCCACCTCTGTTCCCTCACCTCCTGTGATTAGATTATCTTATAAAATTTTTTCTTTCCTTCAAGCATATTTTATTTTTATTTTATTAATTTTATTACTTTTTAATTGTAGTATAATTGTAGTATTATGTTAGTCTCATGTTTACAACATCGTGACTTGACCATTATATACATTTTAAAATGCTCTCCACAATAAGTGTAGCTGCCATCTGTTACCATAAAAACATAATACAATATTATTGACTGTATCCTTTATGCTGTTTTTTATTCTTTTTCATCACCATGACTTATTTACTTTATAATTGGAGGTTTGTACCTCTTTACCTCTTTCACCTATTTTGTCCAGCCCCCCTCCTCTCCTATGGCAACCACCAGTTTGTTCTCTGCATTTATTTTGCATTTATCTATTTTGTTTGTTTTGTTTTTTAGATTACACATAAAGGGAAAACATATGGTATTTGTCTTTTTCTGTCTGACTTATTTCATATAGCATTATACTCTCTAGGTCCATCCATGTTGTTGCAAATGGCAAGAGATCATTCTTTTTTATGGTTGAATAATTTTTAATTGTCTAGATCCACTTCTTTATCCATTCATCTATTGATAGTATTTGTGTTGCTTCCATATCTTAGCTATTGGAAAAAATGTTATAATAAACAGGGGGGCATATGTTTTCAAATTAGGGTTTCCATTTTCTTTGGGCAATCTGCAGAAGTGGAATTACTGAGTTGTATAGTATATCTATTTTTAACCTTTTTGAGGAATCTCCATATTATTTTCCATAGTGGCTGCACCAATTCAAATTCCCACAGACAGTGCATCACAGTTCCCTTTTCTCCACATCCTCAACAACACTTGTTATTTCTTATATTTTTATGCTAGCCATTCTGCCTGGTGTGAAGTGACATCTCATTGTGGTTTTGATTTGCATTTCCCGGATGATTAGTGATATCAAGCATCTTCTCATGTGTCTGTTGGCCATTCATATGTCTTTGGAAAAATGTCTATTCAGGTCTTTTGCCCACTTTTTAATTGGATTATTTGGAGTTTATTTGGTGTTAAGTTGTATGAGTTCATTATACATTTTTGGATATTAACTACTTATCAGACATATCATTTGCAAATATCTTCTCCCATTCCATAGGTTGTCTTTTTTTATTTTGTTGATGGTTTCTTTTGCTGTACAAAAGCTTTTTAGTTTGATGTCATCACACTTGTTTATTTTTGCTTTTGTTTCTCTTGCCTGAGGAGATCCAGAAAAATATTACTAAGGCTGATGTCCAAGAAATTACTGCCTATGTTATCTTTCAGGAGTTTCATAGTTTCAGGTCTTATATTTAGGTCTTTAATCCATTTTGAGTTTATTTTTATGTATAGTGTAAGGAAGTGGTCTAGTTTCATTCTTTTGCATGTAGCTCTACAGTTTTTCCAACACCATTTATTAGAGACCGTCTTTTACCTACTGTTTTTCTTGCTTCCTTTGTCATAGATTAATTGACCATATAAGGATGGGTTTATTTTTGGTATCTCTATCTGTTCCATTGATGCATGCATCTATTTATTTGTGGCAACACCATACTGTTTTAACTACTATAGCTTTGCCATATAGTTTGAAGCCTGGGATTGTATTACTCCAGTTTTGTTTCTCTTTCTCAAGAATGCTTTGGCTGTTCAGGATCTTTTGTTGTTACATATAAATTTTAGGATTATTTGTCTTAATTGTGAATATTGATATTTTGATAAGGGATTAGAATGTTAAATGATGCAGTTTGTATATTTATTTGGTGTAATCAGTCTGTGAC